CCTCATGTCCTCGGCAGCTGCAGCTTCACACAGTAACAGCTGAGCGTCTGGGATGACACCGCTGTGCCAACTGCCACAGGGGCAGATAGAGGAGTGGAGTGTGACTCTGTATGTGAGCAATGTGACCGAGCGAAGCACGACGAAGCCCACAACACAAATGGACTCCGCGGTCACTCCCTCTGTCACGTGTGCTGTTCTGTCAGGTCAGCGATTATAACAGTGATACGAGTTGAGTTGACTGACGATAAATGCTCTGGAAAAATTGTCTCTGACAAATACAGTGTTGCAGTTATGTGTTAGTACATTTTAATTCCACCTATGGCTAATATAAACTAATATAAACTTGGCTAATATAAGCTAATGTTTTTACAATTTGGACTTAAATTTGCAAATTATTTATGACTTTGTTTCTGTCTAACCTAACTTGTTTTTTTGGTAATTTAGATATTATTAGATATTGCATAATTAAATAGATTTTTTAATTCAATTATATGTGATTTTATGATGCATAAAAACACAGGAAATCTGCCCAGATCTTTATTATACTGTAAGTTTAACAAATCCCTCTGGTATGAACTGGATAATTCAATTTCACAGCAAACAAACCATTGACCTTGAAACAATGCCATCCTTGTGTTTCAGGTCACATTTTCTCGCTCCTCACAGGTTTTTATGTTTCTTTGTCAGCGATAAATCTTCGCACAGAAACACAGTCGTTCACAGCTGTTTTCATGGACATTAATTTCCACCGAAACATATCCGTTCATTTGGAAACAAGTCTTTGCTCTTAGTAACAAGAACAACAACTGTGGACGTGCCTGACTCCTCCACTGGAGCAGCTGTAGTTATATTCAGACTCTGACTTCAGCGGCGTTCTTGACAAATATGCACTGTAAAAAAACCCAGACCATTGTGTTGAAGTTTTTGAACAGAAAAAAAATCTGTGTTTTTCTGACACACTTTATTCTCACAGACAGATATGACTTTTAACCCTTTGGTCAGAGGCACAGGGAGGATCCAGACAAATGTTGAAAGTGCAACTGTACAGCCTTTGTGGTGTTGTGCAGGAGTGGCCATTAAGTACAGGCCTCTGTGTGGGTTTATGGGAGGCTCCGTGTCGGCACCTCCCTGTGTCTCCGTCAGGTGGTGGCGTGTTTGGACACGCATGTCTTCAAAGAGTCTGGAGGAAGGTTTTTGTTGAGGGTTCCAGGCAGAAAGAGTCGGTCACACGCTGTTTCAACAGCTTATTTATTGCACTGTATTTAATGGATTATTATTGTGTTTGAGACAAAAGTGTTTGAAGAGCTTCATGGATGCATCATGTGACATTTACTGCTAACTTTTAGCAGTTTTGGGCTATGATTTAGCTTATTTGTTGACTATAATTTAACTTTTAAAACATACAAAACATGTGCATAAAAAACATATATATATTTGAACATGAAGACCTAAAGCCTCCAAAGTCCTTAGAGTCCTCACTAGGCTAAGTGGGTCATCCATATTTGATGTGTTTTATGCATATTTTATGTTTTTTTTTGTTTTGTTTTTACACATGTTCAACACTATAACCAACATTACCACATGTTAATACACTGTTTTATTTGATCTCTCCTAAACAAATTGCTGAAAATGATCCATGAACTATAAAATGTGTCATGTGTAGCAATCGTATCCTCGGGATTCAACAATCATGACCTCATTTATAATATCTGTGAATTATTATTCCACCTACTCAATGGGAAAATTGTGGTGTTTTTTTTTTCTGGTCAGAATATTTATGATATCAAACTGAACCCCCCCTTTTAAAAAAAATATTCTACTTCTGGTCAGAATATTTATATCAAACCGAACCCCCCTTTTAAAAAAAATATTCTACTTATTCACTGTTTGCAAATGATTAGTGTCATGTGCTTCGTCACCACGAGAAACTGCGTGTTGTTTTTCTCCTGCCACGGAGTGTGTTTTCATTTGTCGTCCTCCCTCTGCTTCACTTTGTTTTATCACATTAGCCTGAGCAGTAAATCTGCTGCTCCTCCTGCTGCACCTCCTCTGTCTCCTGCAGTCACACAGACGTTGCATCAATTGTTAATCAGCTTGTCAGCAGCAACACACAGGGAGATGACACAAACCTTTCACTTTCAGGGTTTAGAAATGTTACCTGAACCGAAGATCAGCTGGTACAGTAGTTAAAACCAAGGACCTGGAAAGTTTTCAAGGCCGATGCTTTAACTGATGATGCTTTAATGAGAAGACATCCAACTGAAAGTATGTTGGGGTTTTTTTTTGCATCAAAGCAGATATTCTCTACTGGGGCAGCCATTTTGGATGTTATTATTATATACTATTATAATTATATACTATATTATTATATTATCACAATTTTCTCCCCTCATTAGTTCATAACTTAATGCTGCCAATGTTCTCATTCAATGTTGAGGATGGAACAATATCTCAATATGGAACGTTCTAGAACACTCAAGATTAATTCTCTGTTGTGGACTCTGGGGGGTTTGTTTGGCACCGACCACCGGGAGGGTGTGTTTTTACTGTTATAAACTGTAAATTAACCCAAAGTAATAACAGACACCGTCAGTTTAACAGCATGTTATGAAGTCAAGACTGTACAGCTCTCCGCAGACAGCGGGCTCAAAAAACATCATTTGATGGAACGAACCATTCATGGGGTTCACGAGTGGGGAAAAAAGTAAGATAAACTTCTAGAGCTCTTCTGTGGTCTTATCGCTTAGTGGAAATGATTCCAAATTACAACTTTAACGTTTTAACATATGCGTAGTTCGTAAATATAAGAGTAAAGACATTTTTTCTCGTGTTTTAGTTGGTTCAGTCCGGTGGTCCGGCATGGCTCTTTCACTGCGGTTTGTCGAGCCAAGTCAAATGAATGACAACCGGAATTAAGGAAACGTGCCTTCAAAATAAAAGTAGCATTTCCTTATAAATAAACCCACCTGCCAAGCTTAGTTTAAATGTAAATTAATTAGATACATCTTAATTAGATGTAAAAAAGTAGCAGTAGAAATTATATATATATTTATGTTCATAAACTGTGCGTACAGTTGAACGTACGATATGCTTACGCTGTTGTTTTATGTTGAAATGCCCAACCGGAACATATTTATTTCCTCTTATGACTAGCTTAACTTTTCTGACAGCATTCGGCTTTTATTCTCACTCTGAACGTTTTCCACTAAAGACCTGTGGACCCGTTGGATTTGGACTCAGTCTCTCGAAGACTGTGAAGATAATTTTGCTGTTTTGTTTTTTTTTAACATTCCTTTCTATTTCCCGTCGGACGCCATTCCCTTTTAGAGTTTCTTTTCCTTTCTTTTTTTTTTGGGTCACGCGTTTTTACCCACCCTTCAGCTGTGGTTGGAATTACACAGGGCGTGTGTGGCACCGGGATCTGGACCCGGAGTTTGTGTTCTGCTGTACTTGTGTGACTCTCTGAGGAATGACAGCAACTGGGAAAAGACTTGGATAAAAAAAAAAAACTAAAAAAACATGGACACTATGGATATTAAAGAGCTGGGGAATAAGCTGGAGGAGAAGCTGACACTAACAGACAAATGTAAGTATCCTGCTCCTTAAAAATATTGATAAATATGGTTGAAAATGCATTAGAAATAGAAGAAAGAAAAAAAACAAGGAGTGCATTTTGTTTGCTGAAAGTCTCATCCTGAATATGGACATTGTTGGGATATTTGGGATGAGGAGCAGCTGCTGTAATCTGAGTCCATTTTCTCTGAGGAAAATTCAGAGGAAAATTGGGTGTTGTGCTGTAATTCCTACACACACACTAACCAGCCAGTCAGTCAGTCAGCCAGTCAGCCAGCAGGAAGGCTTCTAACACAGGCGGGTCCTGAACCAGCAGAGACACAGAGCTTGGAAATGCAGCACTGGAGGACCAGATCTGTGGTCTCCATTAACAAACACGTCATGAAGATGTTAGAAACAGAGGACAACCCTAACGCTAACCAAACCAACCGCTGCTGATACTAAAAAAAAAACATCGCCTAGAGCTGGAAAAAAAAAACCTTCATTCTGGTTATTGTCAGCAGCACTAGAGCAGTTTAGTTTTTAACCCAACAGCCTTCCTTAATCTGAAATATAAATCCACAATATGCAGTTTTCAATGGATTATGTTAAAATGAAAAACAACATAAATAAATTCATGTAACCCCCCCTCCGAAAGACCATGCAGCGGGAAAAAGGAGTAAGTAAATATCAAGTCAATATTTCTTCCACCAATGGTAAAGGTTTGGGATTTTCCCAAAAATATATCCCATAATATCCCTGAACTGTGAAGGTATGTTATTGTGATGTTCTTGTAGGAACGGGTCTCCAGATCTTTGGAAACGATGCTGACGATTAGATCATTTTTTATTCTGCTCTCTGTGCAGTGACCTGGTTTTATCAGCTTTTTCTGGCTTAGATTTAAAAAAAAAAAA